TTGTAGTGTATTCCCCACTCAAATGACACTGTGTGTTCCCAACAAGCTAGTTGATTGATGGCTTTCACACACACTTAACTCTCACTACTGTGCATGTGGAGAGACGTCCATTCACCTTGCATAAAAGGAATGGTTTGCAGTAGAAACCCTTACTCTTTTTTCTCAGTATGTTTCCTAGTGCCAGTTTGATATTCATGCACTTTTCACTGTAAAACCGTGTTGGAGCTACTACCATCCCATATATATTTATGTAGTGTAGTTTCCCACTGAAAACAAACTGTATGTTCCAAGCAATCTAGGTGATTTTAGACTTTCATACTTACTTCATGTCAGAGTTTAGCATGTGGAAGGATGTTCATTCATCTAGCACAAAGGGAACTGGTTGCAGTTGAAACACTTTCATTGGTTTCTCAGTATGTTTTCTAGTGCGGTTTGAATCTCATGCAGTTTTCACTGCAAAACCAAGTTGGAGCTTGTACCTCCCCACCTATATTTTTGTAGAGTTTTTTTCCCTCTGAGAAGAAGCTTTGTATTGCCAACAATATAGGAGATTGACGGCTTTCACACACAATTAACTGTCAGAATTGAGCATGTGGAGAGACGGTTATTAATCTAGTATAAAGGGAATGGTTTTCGGTAGAAACACCCTTGTTTCTCAGTATGTTTCCTAGTGCCAGTTCGAAGTTCATGCCGTTTTCACTATAAAACCGACTTGGATCTAGTACCTCCCCATATATATGTATGTAATGTTGTTTCCCACTTAAAACAAACTGTGTTTTCACAACAAGCTGGGTGATTGATGTCTTTCACACATACTTAACTCTCAGAATTGATCATGTGGAGCGACGTTCGTTCATGTAGCATAAAGGGAATGGGATGCAGTAGAAAGACTTATTCTGATTTCTTAGTTTGTTTCCCATTGCCCGTTTGATGTTCATGCATTTTTCACTGTAAAACTGTGTTCGATCTTGTACCTCCCCATACATATGTATGTAGTGTAATTCCCCCCTCTAATGAAAATATGTGTTCCCTACATCCTAAGTGATAGTTGGCTTTTGCATGTATTGATCACTCAGAACTGAGCATGTGGTGAGGCGTTCATTCAACTAGCATAAATTGAGTGATATGCTTTAGAAACACTTTCTCTTGTTTTTCAGTTTGTTTTCTTGTGCGTGTTTGAAGTTCATGTCGTTTTCACTGTAAAACCGATTTAGAGCCAGTAACTCCATATATATATATATATGTATATATATATATATACATATATATATATATATATATATATTTAATTTTGTTTCCTACTGAAAAGAATCTGTGTTTTCCCTAAAAGATAGCTGACTGACGGCTTTCTTACACACTTAACTCTCAGTATTGAGCATGTATAGAGACGTTCATTCATCTAGTATAAAGGGAATAGTTAGCAATAGAAACACTTACTCTGGTTTCTCAGTATATTTAATAGAGCCAGTTTGATGGTTATGCAGTTTTCACTGTAATATCGATTTAGAGCTAGTACCTCCACATATATATGTATGTAATATAATTTCCCACTGAAAAGTAACTCTGTGTTGTCAACAAGCTAGGTAATTTATGGCTTTCACACACATTCAACTCTCAGAATTGAGCATGTGTAGAGGCGTTCGTTCATCCAGCTTATAGGGAATGTGAAACTGATGATCATGACCTATGCTGGTAGGAAAACAATAAAGGGAGCATTAATTTAGACCTTTTATAGCTATGGTCAGCAGACATGAGAGAATTTCATTTTCAGCAGTAGACTTCTTTTTTTTTAAAGTTCAGAAAGCTTCTTTCCTGTAACTGGATATATATAGTGAATGTCTTAAAGTCTTTGAGCAACTTCTTTAAATTAGAATAGTTACAACTTCCGGGCAAGATGGCGGAGTAGAAGGATGCTTGTAAGTCACCCTCTCCCACAAATACACCAAGACCCACATCTACAGACCCACTTAGCCAACCAGAGCACCTGCGGAACTCCAACAGATCATCGCCCTCTTCAAAAGATAAAGACACCAAAAATCTGGTAGGAGAAAAGGAAAAAAGAAAGAACAAAAGGCAAAGCAGTGCAGGATGGGTCCCGCAGGGGAGGGAGGGGCAAAGGAGGACTGGCGCTTGCTCGCTGGGTCTCCCCTCTCCAATTGAGAGGCCAGCGGGACGGAGGGGGAGCCTCCAAGTCTCGGATCTGTACAGAGCAGCCCTTGTCTGACAGAACTAAGTTAAACGGGCACAGAGCATCCCCCCCGACACCCAGCCTGAGACGCGGGCCAGCAGCGGCGGGCAGGGCCAGGCTGCACAAGCCGGGCGGAGGACGGGGGCAGCTGCACGGAGGCAGCTCCAGGGGACTGCAAGGGGCTGGACGCCGGGGCTGTGGGTGTACAGGACAGAACAACCAGGGCCCTCCATAAAACAGCAAGGTTGATGTGCTCTCGGGGGAAGTGTGCATACCCCCATCTCTGAAAACACGCGGAAACTTTTCAGGGGAAGAGGGGCGGGGCCCAGGCAGAGCCGCCATATTCTCCAGCGCTTAACACCCAGGCGGGGGCAGAGGTGAAACCTACGCCTGCACCGAAGGGCTTATCAGCCTCAAGGACCAGACTGAGACGGGCCTACAGCCCTGGGCAGATAGGATCCTTCCATTCTGGTACCCCAGAGAACTTGGCTCCACAAAGACAAACAAGCAGCTGGGTCTTGGCTCGGAGCAGGGACGAGGCTGCCCCTTGGTCTTCCCCGAGCCTACCCGCGGAGCACGACCAGGGCGGAGCGCCGACCTGGGCAGAGCTCTGACCAGGACTGAGCGCGACCAGGGCGGAGCGCCGAATGGGGCGGAGCACGACCAGGGTGGAGCACCACCAGGGCGGAGCGCCTGCGCAGAGCGCACAGCCGCACAGAGCAGCGGAGCTACCGGCAGCGCAGGCAGGGGGAGAGCAGCCCCCCACCTGTCGGGCAGGAACACAACCCCTGACCGAGGTGCTGGGAAGGGGCACGACCCGCCCTCCTGCCTGGCCAGTCTGCAACATCTGACTGCGGCATCCGAAGGGGCAGTGACCCGCCCGCCCGCAGCAGAGGAGAGCTGCATCTGACCCCGTGTTAGGAGGAGGCGCGATCTGCTTGCCGACAGGTGCTGGGAGCAGCACAGAAGAGAGGGAGCCAAT